CCCCACCCTTTCCCAATTTTTAGATATCCATCCAGTCTATACAATTGTGGAAAAAATATTTCGATATGTGCCCAATCATCGGCCTTTATTTTTTTTAAATTGTAGACCTTATACACCCCCGTTGACACTTTTGAGATCATTTAGGAGGCAGGCTGCTTTGACCCTACCTGTTAGAGTGGACCCAGGCTGAGAGGAACACAATGTCCTTGCAGGAAGACGGAGAAAGGCCTACTGGACAAAAATCTCTCACCCTATAGCGGTCAAACTCACCTCAACCAGCGTCTGTCGTGTAGCCGTTTGACCAGCAGAAGACATGAGTTCTATTCCCGGGTGGGGAGAAAGTTTCTAACGAGGTCATGTTGTACCCCCGGGGTTGTGTTCTTCACATTTCAGAATACTTCTAGTACGAAGATCTCTTTGAAACTTTAAGTATTTCTCAAAAAATTATTTTAAGAGACTGCTATGCAAAGCATACGGATCGGATTAACCCACGAGTAAATTTCTTCTTTGGAAAATGGTGGCACAGAGTTCCCAACGTCGTATGGATACGATAGTAAAACACAACGTACTGATAGGGTTAAATCTAAAAGTGAGAAATCGCTTTATTAGTGTTGTGAATCCAGAAGAAAACGTTTCGTTGTAATATTCATTACAGTTTCAGAAACGAGTGACAGAGATGATGGTGGTGATAGTAGGATGTATTATTTTACGGGATTTCTCCGTCTTTCTCCTCCTCTGAAGTAAAGCAGATAGGCGCGTCGCCATCGGACACAGGATATGTGAGTTCGATTTCCGTGTGTGTGTGTGTGTGTGGGGGGGGTTATCAGTGTCTCTGTCCATCTGCTGAGATGTTGCAACCCTCACAGCCCGGGTTTGCCCTGACACGACACATACTACATAGGACAGGGATAAATCCCAGTTTGTATCTCAGCTAGTTTGATCGTTTAGGAGGCGCGTTGTTTCGACCCTGTCTGCTAGGGCAACCCTGGGCTGAGAGGAGGAATACACTGTCCCAGCAGAGAGATGGAGATAATGATAACAAAAACCTTTCTCACTTGGGAATTAAAGTCATATCAGTGAGCAGAGTAACCATTTCACCACAGATGTAAATTTTGTGGAAAGCTTCTTTGGCCATGTCTGTCAGAACAAACATCACTGGGCAGACGAGGACATTCGATAAAACAAACCCCCCCGCACGCGGAAATCGAACTCACATCTCCTGTGTCCGATGGCGAAGCGCCTATCTGCTTTACTTCAGATGAGGAGAAAGACGGAGAAATTCGGTAAAACAATACATCCCACTACATGCATCACCATCATCTCTGTCACTCGTTTCTAAAACTGTAAAGAACATCACAGCCAAATGTCATTTTCTTCAGGATTCACGGCACTGACAAAGCAATTTCTCACTTCTAGATTTAATATGAGTTTTGCAGGACTTGCAACACTACAAGGTCTAATAAGTGCGGAAGTTTCCCCCATTTCAATACATCTATTACCAAACCAAACAAACTCTACTGACGTCTGTGGTGTAGCAGTTAGGCGCTCCTCCACCGCAATAGCGAGACCCGAGTTCGATTCCTGAGTGGGGAGTTATTAAATATTATCTCGGCCTTTCTGCTGGAGTGTTGGATACCTCTCTGCCCGGGTTGACCCTGGCGGGTAGGGTCGGGAGTCCATCTCCTGAGTTATCTAAATGTGAGGCATCGTGGTGGAATCAGGCTCTCGACAATTTTTGGGCAAGTAGAGTTATTGGTATCATGTTAAAGTTTGTTTACTCGTCTTTATTTGGATAAAAAAATATCCATTTATCTTGAATACAAGTCGAGATATTTTCCAAAGAAGGAGGTGGGGGTCACCTTTTTTCAGAGGTAAAATTAGTGAGAAAATGGCCGCCAAAGATTAGTTACTTCCTTAGCTTTAAGAGTCCGTGGTAACTGAAAATTTACATTTTTTGTGCATTAAATCAACGTTTTTCAGAAAAATCCACTCAGAAATGAGTTCTTAAATAGGCATGAAAGGTGTTGAACCAAAAAACAAAAATTTGATAAAAATTCACAAACCTGCGGAAAAGTGCAAGTTCCCTCACTTTGATTATTTTGACGAGAGCTTGATTCCACCACGCTGCCTCACAAATTGTGTCGTTGGGGGCGTAAAAACACCTACTTTTTTCATAATCAAGAAGAAAAGTTCTATAAACGCGCCAAGGACTACCTGGGACAGAAGTGCCGGTATTTAGCTGAAATTGTCGAATGTAGAGTGCAAAATACTGATAGATCGGGCGAGGCTATTGGCAATAA